GGCATAAGTACTTCTGCACTAAGAGTCACCGGAACAAAAAGACGTAAGTCGAGTATATTAGAGGCGTAGAAAATACGCAAAGCCGGCAAACAATGACCGCGTCACCCATGACCCTTCTGAGGCGACCTAGCTCACCTTTCTTTGAGCAGGACTCCGTTTCGACGTGCGAGCAAGCTCACCGCACAAAACACGAAACGCGTGTCGAAAATGCCCTCCTCACACTCAAGACCCGTCGGAGGCGAGCAAGCTCACCTATGTTCAAAATGTTTTTTCTCTGTCGAGCTGCTGTGACATGTGCGCAACCTAGAGCGGTCTCGAAACGATTGCGGTGCACAAGGGACCGGATGTGTCACAGAACACGCGTGTTGCAAGGATGGTATCGACAGACTGGAGACGAGGTGCTGCAGGAAAGGGCGCGAGTCTGCGATGGAAGGTGTATGGCATGGGGCCTCTTGTCTCCGGAGAGTTAAACAGAGGACGCAGAACAGCAGTGGACTGGCCACTTGGTCCGACCTAGTAGAGATGTGGTTGGTGCTTTTCTGGGATATCACGCCCCTGGGTGTCCTCTGCGGCAAGAACGAAACACTAGCGCCCACAAGTTGCGGGCTGCTTGTTGTCATGAAGTTGACCGATCGAAAGCTCCCTGACAGGTGCTTTCACCGGGTTCACTTTCGGTTGAAACAGGCCAGCTCCACGCACGCACGCGGGTCCCACGGTGTGAGACCAAGGCTCTCTGACAGGTTTACGTTGAAACCCTCTACACTAACGTGTCCGAACGAAAGCTCCCTGACAAGGGCTTTCAACAGGTAAGACAAGGCTCTCCGACAAAATCCGAGTTTAAGAAGTGTGGTAACTTTGCAGACGACGCGCCTCTGCTTCCTCCTTTGTGTTGTGTGTTCTATGCCGTGCATGACGCTTGATCGCAACTCCGACCACATTTGTCTACCGCCTACTTGCCTCCGGCCGTTTGGAGTTGGACCGGCTTGGACTAAGCCCCAACGTACCCATGAGCGAAGCTCCGGGTGGTCCGTCCCT